AGTGCCACGCTACTAGTAACAAGTGCCACGCTACTAGTAACAAGTGCATCGCTACTAGTAACAAGTGCATCGCTACTAGTAACAAGTGCCACGCTACTAGTAACAAGTGCATCGCTACTAGTAACAAGTGCCTGGAAGAGCAAGAACTCTGAAGTGGGCAGCTAATGCACGCCAACACGCAGGTACACACAACCCAGGGAACCTGCGCCTTCCCCCACGGTTCGATCGCCGCCTTTGTTCCTAGTAGCTTCAAAGACCTACTAGTAGCTTCTTGTGACTACAGGTGAAACGATTCCCAAGGAAGTTTCTTGTTCCTAGTAGTAATGCCAGGAGCCACTAGTAGCGTCCTTGCTCCTAGTAGCGATGGCGGCAAAGCAAGCCACAAAAGGCTGTGACAAAAAATCCAACTTTGGCCACCAAGGCAGAGCCTTGGCACCTGGTCTAGGCCACTTGTAACATCCTCTTGAGCCAAAGTCACACATAGCATGCTTGCGCGGGGCTCTTGAGTTTCGGTCAGATCCAGACCCAACATTTCACTGGGCCCCAAACGGTTGGAACGATATCCAAGCTGTTCCTTGGCACCAAAGGTCGAACGACGCGACGAACGGAGCATTTCGGGCATCGCTACAAAAAGTCGAACTTCTGCTCAAGCCGCGCACATCTGCCGCAAGGGCCCCCTGAAGGGCGGAAAACAGCTGTTGACGGTTGATCAAAACAGGCATGTGACTCACTCATACAGTTTCTGGTGTTTCTTTATATGTATTGTTTTTAGCCCCCGGGGGGTAGGCCGAAAAAAGAGGTAGCTAAGGTAGCTACTAGGCTACTAGTTAGTCGCTACTACAGTAGGTACTAAACATGCTCCCACTAACTAGACGCAGGATAGTCCAGGATAGCTCACGCTTCTCCAAGCAAGCTGCCCCCGCCACCCTAAAGGCAGCGCAGGAGCCTCCTTGAAGAAGCGCTCGCACTCTTCATGTGGTTCCTAGTAGCGTCCTTGCTCCTAGTAGCGATGCCAGGAGCCCCCAGTAGCTTCTAGCCCCTAGTAGATTTTTTAGGGAAACTTAACAAGTTGGACCACCGTACCTAAACAGGCTTTGTGTAGGTGGGAGGGTAGGGGGAATGGCGTGCTTCCGTTCGTGACAAATATCAGTAGCTGCCAAAGCAGGGGAGTTGCGATGGGGTAACAACCTTGGACCGTCATGATGCGGACGCCAAGGAATACGTGAGTCTGCAGCATGCAAGAACTGTCGTGTGCACCAATCATTAGGGTTAGCACAGAAGAAACTTCCGCTGGAAGCGGCGGCATGCGACTAATTATTTTGCTTAAAGACCTACTAGCTAAGGAACCTAATAGAAATGGCCTCCAACCTAAGAGCGCTCGATGTGACGTCAAAATGCTCGCCTTGGCTCACGTCCGGCGGAATCGTCTTCGAAGTCCGGAGCAGAATCCTCGGTTGACACGGTCAAACACGGAGGACTCGGTCAGTCACGTTAGGCACCGATGCCTCGTCTGAAGAAGAATGCTGACGGAAGACCTGACGTCAAACACTCACGTTCAGGGGCAAGTTCAGCGACCGGGAAAAAAAGAACCGTCGCTTTGTGCCTGGAGTGCTGGTGAAGTTAAATCGCCAGAAGCTCTTGAATGAGCTCTGGAATTGTTTTCCGCGATGGGTTCTCTTTCCTCAAAACCGGGAAAATCTGTTCGTGCAAAGCTTGACAAAGGATGGTCAAAAAGCTTTGGGTGTCATCTCTACGAAACAAGCACCATCTTGGCTGGGGGCTATGGGCGTTCTTGGCCTGCGAAATGCAAGAGCATTCATGCATCAGACGCAATGGTTGGACAAGAGACGCAAGTGCCGGACATCTTTTCACCTCGATGCATGGCTTTCAGGTGAAGCCCGGAATTCATACATCAGGCACAACTGGCCGAAAGTTCTCCTTTCGGTCGGGTCGCGCGAGATTGCATACATCTCCAGATGGATATTTGCGGAGATGTCTAGCCAATTGCAGAGTCATGAGACTCGGAGGGACGAACAGCAAAATAATCAAAACGCTCATTCCAACTAAACTGCCAAACCATCGCTGAGATGCTGAAGTACTTGGCCCAATAAGCCACGCCAACGCCGCTGCCAGCATAGACAAGTGGGCATTCACACTGCCAAATGTTCGATTTCCAAATGTATGCGCTAAGAATGTGAAATAAGCAGAATACAAAATTGCACGGTAATTGGTGAAAGCAATGAAGGCTACAAGCTGTGCCTTCAGTGGCAGTAGCGTTGCAACACTCCACACAAGACCCAGGAAGAGCATCACTGTGAAGCTGAAAGCAAAACCCCGGTGTGCAAGTGACATGCTGAAAAGCGGGGCAAAAAGGATGGAAGAGGGAAGGAGGTAGACGAAGATTTGCGAAAAACTTGTGAAGAAGAAGGCTGTGTCCTGATCACCCTTAGCCTTCAACAAGTTCTTGTTGAAGCCCATGTAGCTGGTCGCCGAGAAGCCCTAGCCGACTCAAGCCGCTAGCTGAAGCACCAGCGACTTAAAATGAAAAAACAACCTTCTAACCTAATAGCGATGGCCTCCAACCGAATGGCGATGGCCTCCATCATGGTTTGCCTGACCATGCCTTGCCCCTTGCCTGTATGACCGCCGACCCCTTACGCAAGGGGAGCCAGGCACAGATTGTTGGCGTGCGGCATCAAGTTCAGGCTTTCGCTCTCAAATAATTGGGTGAATGACTTGGCAAGCATGCTGCGTCTTTTTGCAACTTTGGACCCCCAAAACGCCCACAAAGGCTTGAATTGCGCCAACCTTTTGGGCAGTTGCTAGCGTTCGGGCAAGAAAGCAACTATGCAAAAAGCTTTGGTTTCACAAACCAAACACCAAACCTTGTGGATTCAAGGCTGCTGGGCAGGGCTTCACCGAATGTTCAACCTCGAAAACAAACACTTTGGGAGTTTGACACTTTGTTTCAACGGTTGCTTTCTCACTGCTTTCAACGGTTGCCAAAAGTAAAGGTTCTTTGATGCTGTGTCACTACTTTAGCTTGCCGCTTCTGGGGTCTTGTATCTAGTCCTTGTGTGGGAACACTGCCCGAAATAGTGCAAGAGCGCATGTCAAAAGCACAGAGTTGGAAGCGCTTAGTGTGCGAAAGCAAAGACAGGACACACAAGAACACCGAACAGGCGCGTCTGAAAAACCAAGGTTGATCGGTTTTCATCCAGACCTCCATGTTGCAGTGGGTGGACACGTGTGCCCGCCATGCAAGACTTTCTCTGCGCTCACCATCTTCGCGAGGACCTTCCGAGCATTCGATGGCCTAGACCACTGCGCTCACCTTAAGAAGTTGACGGGGCTTCCGGGGCTTAGTCACCGGGAATGTTCAAAGGGCATCGCTACTGGGAGCAAGAAGCTGCGAGGGGCTCCTGGCCATACTACTAGGAGCATTCTTGGTACTAGGAACAAAGGGCATCGCTACTAGGAGCACAGACGCTACTAGTAGCTCTTGGCCTTACTACTAGGAACAAGAAGCTACTAGTAGCGATGGCCTCCTTCATCGCTACATGAAGGTCCTTGAATCAATCACTTCTAGGATGGAGGCCATCGCTCTTAGGTTGGAGGCCATTGCTAGTAGGTTGTCTATCTTCTATTCTGCCTTTTGTTAGTAGCAAGAAGCTACTAGGGGCTCCTGGCATCGCTACTAGGAACAAGGACGCTACTAGGAGCAAAGGGCATCGCTACTAGGAGCAAGAAGCTACTAGGGGCAAAGGGCATCGCTACTAGGAGCAGGAAGCTACTAGGAGCAAAGGGCATCGCTACTAGGAGCAAGAAGCTACTAGGGGCTCCTGGCCCTACTACCAGGAGCAAGAAGCTACGAAGCCCATGGCATCAAGCCGACAACCCTTCACACGATCGGCATGCGGCACTTCAAGCGAGAGCAACGCTTCGAAGATGATGGCTTGCCACCTCCTGTTCAAGGATTGCGCGGACTCAGTGCTGAGGGCCAATGGAGAACATCGGCTGCAAAGGAAGTTCCACCTTTGCTATGCTGGGCTATGGCAGCGGCTTGTGCTGAGAAGGTTCGCGGGCGGTTGAGGGCCACCATATTTTCAGGTGGAGTCACTCAATAGGTATCCGGGACACCTTTTGGCACTGCGCAATGTAAAGAATGCGTCGGACACCCTCAGTACCGCTAGTTACCGACCGGATCGGTGCGCGAGGCGTTACGGAAAACATGGCTCAGAATACTTGTAGGCCCGTTTTGCGTCCAAGACTGGACAGAATTTGCATCTGGTGTCAGTTGTAGAATCAATTGATTTGGGCGAGGTTGCATGCGAAGAATAGATCGTCTTTTCCAGCTTTGAGCCCATGTTCCGGAGCCTGTAGTGAATGAGAATGACCCAATGCGGATTCAGAAGGCAGGGGCGTTGTTTGGCCCAGGCTGGGTAAGACTGCGGCGAAGTCTGACATCGAAAAGCCAAGTATTTGTGCAGCCTGCGGATGTAGTGGAGAGGCAGGCAAGTAAAGTGACAATTTCTCAAGGGGTTCATAAGACAGGCTAGACTTGTAGAGTAAGCGGGGTTAGAGCTTAGGCACAATCACAATTTGTAGAATGTTTCTTCTGAATGTTGAAGTCGTTCCATGCATGTGGAGCAACGGATCATAATGGCTTTGGCCTCTACCTAAACCAACACTGAGAGAAGTGTGAGGTGATGTCAAGTGTCTAGTTCAACAACTTGGCTACGCTGAGATGCCTTTTGAGTCTGGCTGAAAGAAGTGTGTATGATTTGTGTTCCACTCGTTCTGGTTAATTACTAGGAACAAGAAGCTACTAGGGGCTCCTGGCCTTACTACTAGGAGCAAGGACGCTACTAGGGGCTCCTGGCTTCGAGACTAGTAGCAAGAAGCTATTACTATAGCAAGAGAAAGTCTCTCTGTTTTCAGTTGTCTTTTTCTAGTCTTGGAGGCCATCGCTCTTGGGTTTCTGAATCAGCGGCGAGTCGGCGGAAGCCGATGGGAGCTGGCGTGAGCCGCATAATAAAAACTTCATGAAAAAGAAACAAGAGGAAGAGACTCTTTGAGCACGTTTGAACATGTTTGAACTGGTTTGAACTGTGTAAATGTGTATTTTCACGATTTTCATTTAGCTTTGCATTTGCTGTGTTCTATGAATTATACAAGTCTGGACACGAAAGCGCAACAGCTCGACCGACGGTCACCTGGGTGATAAAGAGCACAAAAGCAAAGGCAAACTCAAAGCTTTGGAGTTGAGAGGTCAGCTTCTGCCCGTGCAAACGTGGCTTGGAAGCTACACGTGGCTTGGAAGACGAGCTTTCAGCACCGAGCTCTTCGAGTTCAGCTTCTCGTGGTTCCCCTCCTTCTATTCGCTCGTGTTCTCCGGCTTCTGAAGCATTTCTTGAATCCTCTGAGTCTTCCGTGTTCTCTTTTCGATCTTGTTCTTGAAGCTTCTTCTTGCTTCCCTCGTTCCTTTCGCTCCTCTCTTCCTTCGCCTCTTCCACGTCTTCCTTCTCTCTTTCACGGGCCTCTTCCGCATTCTTTGCGGAAAGTCTCTCTGATGGAGAGCCCCACCAGCACCAAATGATGAGGCCATTGAGGCAGAAACATAAGCATGCGTAGATCGAAAAGATCCGTGCACGAGAGAAACTCTCTCCTATACGATAGAACTGATAAAGGGCTGCAGGCATCACAGATGATCCATCCACCATGCAATTGGCTAGCGTCATGACCCAAGCAAACCTCTCCGGTGGGACAATGAAAGCTAATTTCAGGGCATGGACCATTAAGGCAGATCCACCGATGCCAGTGAGAACCACCCGCGACATCAAAGAGATCAAAGGGCAACTGAGAAAGGACATCGTCCACGCCGGCAACGCCCTCGCCGCCCTGCGACAGCACTGGTGCTTGCAGGTGTCCCAACATCAAGAGCCCTGCAGTCTCAAAGAGCCCACCAAAGAAAGACAAAAAGATGGGTCCTGTGCGATCCATCAGAAAGCTCAGGCATGCATAGGCGAAGATTGAGAACATTTGGCCCGTCCCATAGAGAAACATCATCCGATTGTCACGTTCTGTACAGTCCGAATTACACAAATGATCATAGATGTGATCATCCTCCAGGAAAGACTGCAAAGCTGCCCAGCCACACAAAATCCCAGAGAAGAGCAATGTGTTTGCAAGGCCAAGAGAAACCGTCACCCATTCCCGAAACCACGAAGACGAAGACGACGAAGACGAAGACGAAGTCGAAGATTCCGATTCCATGGCGAGGCGTACTCCGCTTCGTTCCGTTCCGTTCCGTTCCGTTCGGAGCGTCCTTGCTCCTAGTAGCGATGCCAGGAGCGCCCCGTTCGTAGCTTCTTGCTACTAGTAGTAAGGCACTTGTTACTACTAGTAAGGCACTTGCTCCTAGTAGCGATGCTAGGAGCTACTACTAGCGTCCTCTTGTTTCTAGCAGCGATGCCAGGTTGACTACCTAGTTTGAGCCAAGAAATGCTCCGAGGCACCGCGCTAGCACCAATTTGAATCACCTATCTGGCTCCGACGGCGCTTGGCAATGGCACGGCAGCGACGCCATGCGGCGCCTTTCACTGTGTGAATTGTTCACCTTAGAATTTGGGGAAAGCTGAAGCAATGAGCTCCTAATAGCTTGGTGCTCCGTTCGTAGCGATGCCAGGAGCCCCTAATAGCTTCTTGCTCCTGAAGCAATAAGGTCGGTATGCTACAGTTGCGTCTGCTCAGTGTACTGTTCGTTTCGCATTCTGTTGATTGCCTGTTTATATCGCCAAGATGCTTCAAGTGGACTCCCCACCAAATCGATAGTTCCAATCCTCTCGGACTCCTTGGATGTGAAACACGACGCCTAGGCATGTCAAATGCATGACAAGACCACCTGTCTCCAAGACCCCGGGCGCTCGCTCCCGTAATCCTGATCAACACACTAAATGATCAATCAAATGTACATAAATATACATATATATACATATTATGAATAATATATTGATATTTTTAATAGTTATAAGTTATAAGTGTTCCATCTCCCGTCTTGAAATGATGCACACACATACCACACACTCTGCTTTGCCGCTTGGCCTCAAGAATGTTGGTATTCGGCCTGGAACTGGCGATGCCTGACGATAAGGGGCAACGGGTAATTATACGGCCGGATACCCCTTACTACTAGGAGCAAGGACGCTACTAGGGGCTCCTGGCCTTACTACTAGGAACAACGAGGCTACTAGGAGCAAAGGGCATCGCTACTAGGAGCAAGGACGCTACTACAAACAAAGTGCGGACTGTCCTCTCTGAGCAATGGCTCCAAGGGCCTCACACTGTACTGAATACGTCGTTTGTTTCATGTTCAGTCTGGACAAGCTGCGCAAGAAGCTTTGGAAATGTCACAAGGCTCTAAGAAACACTTCTTCGTGATTAAAACTTTGCAGCCCAATGCTCAGCTATCTTGCTGCGGCTTCAAATCGCGGGTTTTTAACTAAAACGAAGTTGGGTACCCAGCCGTGACCCCATAGTAACTGGTGGAGCCCGCCGGTTTGACGGCCTTAGAGTCGCAACATCTGTGCATCATGACGGCTGAACTATTAAAAGTGTTTTTCCAGAACTTGGGTGCGTGCTTTTCATCTTCAAACTCCTCAAAACATAATTGGGATCCAGAAGCATGGGAAATGTGCCGCATGTTGGAAAACAGCAAGACAACTCACCGCCCATTCCATAGACACCAAACAGTTGCAAACGCCACCGTTGACGGGAACGAAACCAAGCAACGCGCCGCAGGCTTACGACGCGCAGATCAAAGGGCTGAAAACTCTGCCAGCGCCATGATGTTTGCCGACGTGTCTTGAAGCAAAAGCAGAGGATGTTCTTCTATCAGGCGTACAAGGTATGCCGCCAACCAATCGCCATCGTCGAAGTCGGGAAGGCACGGGTAGATGCTAGGTCAACGGCATTAATGGAATGGAGTTGCCGCAAAGAATGTCATTCATGTCCCCGACAATGTTTTGGACCGTACAAGATGGTCGCAGAGAGTGCTTCGAATCTGTTCTGTTTCCTCCGGAGATGTGGCCGAAATTGCCCCAATTTCTCCGACAGAAGTTCCACGAGCTGCCAGCGTCCAGCGTCCTTGTTGAGTGATACGCAGCCACCATGCAATTGAACTGAGACCAATCGCTCCAATTAAAAAGCAATTGAGATGTTCGTGCTCTGTTCTTGCTCTTTGGAGTCCGAGATGTGGAGAGATCTTGTGTTTTGTACGAGAGCGAGTGCATTCATTCGGGAAGAAAACACCAGAGAACGACAAAACAGATTGATGTGGACTCCTCCCACCAAAAGAGATTTGGCTTCTCTGCCGCCACTCTGAACGACTGTCCAGGTCTGCTCACGGTTTTCGATGCCTTTCGTGTGAACAGTGCCATGCCAACACACTTGGACGACCAAAAGACTTCTTAGACGTTGCTGACAAAGAATGGCTGACTGTGCGTGGGACAAAATGGACATGATGGGTCCGTTTTGCGACCAGTCGGCGCGTAGTTTTTGGTTCTAGCGCTTTTGGAGACATTAAAAAATGGAACCAACAAAACGGCCACGGACACAAGTGGCTCAAGATTCAAGACCATTGGTCGGGCACAAGCTCTTGCCGCAGCAAGCAGCCTTTAGATCGAGGTTGTTGGCTCTCAGTCACTCACAATTCATCGGCCTCTGTTCGGTTATATTAGAGTAAAACGGGTGGTGCAAAGCATGGAAAGGCGCCAATCTGGCAGATCAACCAAGAAGGAAGCGGGGCTACACTACACACAAAAAGGAACCAGAACTAAAGACTATGACTAGAACTAAGGGTAGGGCGGTTGCTTCTTTTGGATCTGATTCTCGTCTTCAAGAACATATTTGCAAAGCAAGGGCTGAGCAAGAAGTAATGAAACCCCTGTACTTGAGCCTGACTCACATGAGGCGAGCCCATGGAGACTAGGAAAAGCCTGTTAAGTAATGAAAAGGAGAAAAAACTGAATGGTAATAATAACACATGCTAACTATGCTAACTACTTATCATAGTGCAACAGCCACTTGCGAATTCAGTTCTTTCTGGTTATGAGCGTGATGGCCTGTTGGGCTTTGGAGTTTCGAAACATCTCTCTATGCCCAGACTCTGCCCATGGGACGTGTGTGCACCTTAAGGGCTATGCATATCACCTTCCGCACCAATAGTTGCAGGGGAGACAGGAGACTGGCAAACAAACGAATATATATATATATATATAGGAAGAGAAAGTCTAAGGCCAGGAGCCCCTAGTAGCGTCCATGCTCCTAGTACGAATATAACAGAAACGATAGCCTTCATCCTAGAAGCAATGGCCTCCAACCTATAGAAGGGATGGCCTCCAACCTGATAGCGATATATACATGTATATATATGACGGAGATGATACTATCATACAAGGTGACGCCCTCAGAAAAACATAAGTCCGATCATAAAGCGATGAATTTGAGCATTAATAGGTGCAGATTCACTGCACATTATCAAATGTATAATTTTTGTTGAGCCCGGTCAATTATTATGTATCCACCTAGATGAGTTTGCAGCTGGTCCCTGCAGAGGGCTGCATGCTTTTCGAACATCCATTGGTGTCACTGTACTTTGGAGTTATCGCTATAAAAATGTACGATACTGTTTGATGCAAAAACTGAATAACCCCAGAAACGCAAGCCTTCAACCTTGACTCTAAAAAACGTTTCAAATACTTCTGACATCTGTAACTATATATATATATTTAATATATACCAGTGTAAGCTGCTGCAGGAATCATTTTGAGGTGGGTTAATGGCGGACTTCAATTGGCGGAACAAAGACAGCCCCCCGGTGATGAAGTCTTGTCGCTCTCCTCGCTGCTCTCCGGGCTCAATTGGCTACTTCGCTTCAGCCTGAGCAAGGCTGGGCAGCAATTGAAGATCTCAATTCACTACGTCGGAGGCCATGGCTATTGGGTTGGAGGCCATCGGCATTAGGTTGGAGGCCATCGCTATTAGGTTGGAAGCCATTGCTAGTAGGTTGGAGGCCATCGCCATTAGGTTGGAGGCCATCGCTATTAGGTTGGAGGCCATTGCTAGTAGGTTGGAGGCCATCGCCATTAGGTTGGAGGCCATCGCTATTAGGTTGGAGGCCATTGCTAGTAGGTTGGAGGCCATTGCTAGTAGGTTGGAGCCCATCGCTAGTAGGTTGGAGGCCATCCCTATTAGGCTGGAGGCCATCGCTAGTAGGTTGGAGGTCATTGCTAGTAGATTGGACGCCATCGCTACCATGTTGGAGGCCATCGCTCGTAGGTTGGAGGCCATTGCTATTAGGCTCGAGGGCATCGTTAGTAGATTGGAGGCCATCGCTCTTAGGTTGGAGGCCATCCCTCTTAGGTTGGAGGCCATCGCTCTTAGGTTGGAGGCCATCGCTCTTAGGTTGGAGGCCATCGTTAGCAGGTTGGAGGCCAACGCTACTAGGTTGGAGGCCATGGCCAGCATGCCATCACTAGTAGGTTGGAGGCCGTCATCGCTACTAGGGTTGGAGGCCATCGCTAAACTAGGTTGGAGTCCATTGCTATTAGGTTGGAGGCCATCGCTAGTAGGTTGGAGGCCATCGCTAGTAGGTTGGAGGCCATCGCTATTAGGCTGGAGGCCATTGCTATTAGGTTGGAGGCCATCGCTAGTAGGT